CCCCCCGCCTGCTCGCAGGCTGATGGTGAACCTGACGCAGCCGGCTCTGCTCTGCTTTGGCAAAGTGCCGCCCGATGCCGCCTCCCGGCACCACTTTCTCCAGGTCCTGTCCTACCTCCAGGCCTACAAAGAGGTGAGTCTGCGCCGGGAGAGGCCCCCGGCGCAGCCCCTGGGCGGGGGGCTCTGCCCGGGCCCCCCAGGCTCACACAGGGGTTTCCGCAGGCTTTCGCCAGTGAGAAAGTTTTCGGGGTGCTCAGCGAGAAGCTCTACAACCTGCTGCAGCTGGTGAGTGCGGCGTCCCTGCGCGGCTCCTGGGGACTGCAGCGTCTGTCCCCGCTGAGCGGGGCCGGGGCTCCCGGGGCTGCTGCGGGGAGCCCTCACGGCACCATCGCCCCAGGACTGGGAGCAGCGGCAGGAGGAGGACACGCTGCTGATCGAGAGGATCCTGCTGCTGGTGCGCAATGTGCTGCACGTCCCCCCGGACCCCACGGAGGAGCAGGTACCGGGACGGAGCCCTTCCCCGGGTACCTGGCAGGTCTGGGGCTGTGGTGGGTCCCCGGGGACCCCTGCTGAGCCCCCCGCCCGCCACCCTCCCCAGGGCGTGGATGGCGATGCCAGCGTGCACGACCGGGTGCTGTGGGCACTGCACATCAGCGGGATGGACGACCTGCTCAAGTTCCTGGCCAGCGCCCAGGCGGAGCAGCAATGGGCCTTGCACGTCCTGGAGATCATCTCCCTCATGTTCCGTGACCAGGTGAGATGGGGCGGAGGGGCCGGGGATGCCCCCAGAGCCCCCCCCGCAGCGCTGACGGTGCTGCCCACAGAGCCCAGAGGAGCTGGCGGCGCTGGGGCAGGGGCAGGCGGCTGCCGAGCACGGGGAGGACACGCGGGAGCTGCAGCCCCTGCGGCAGCGGGAGCTGGCAGAGAAGAGGGCTCGCGCACTGCAGCGCCCATCCAGGTGAGGTGGGGGGCCCCCGTGGCGGGGCCGGGACCCCTGTGGCGGGGCCGGCACCGCTCAGCC